CCCGCCCGCCCATCCGGCCCGCGCAGCAGGGCGCACGGCACGCAGGGGCAGAGCCCGCTGCACGCGGCTGCGTGGGTGTGGGTGTGGGTGTCGCGGCTCTTGTCCAAGGAGAGACCGTGAGCCCTCCCCTCTGCCTCCGCCCTCTCTGTTCCCTGGCACCTTACCGCTGGCACCCCGCCAACCCCTCCCTCCCTTGCTGCCGCAGGTCGGCGTCAACAACATCGGGCGGTGCAACCGCCTCAAGCCCAACATCATGCAGAGCGTGTCGCACTTCAGGGTGAGGCGGCGCGGCCCAGCCGCCACTGGCAGCCGGCCTGCCGCGCGCGTCGTGTGCGCAGCTGGCGGCGGCCGAGGGCACGGGCCGGAGGCCCGCCGTTTGCCATGCCGGCCTGCGCCATGCCGTCTTCTCACGCCCGCCATGCCGCTGCGCTCCACCCGCGCTGCCGACCCAACCTCAAACCCGTCCTCCCCACATGCGCGCCTGCAGCTCTGGATCGACCTGGGCCTCTACCTGCTGAAGAACCCCACCAAGTTCAGCGGCGACTACCCCTTCTGGGCCTTCGTGAAGAGCCAGTTTGAGGTCTGGGAGTGAGCGCAGACCACGCCGGCCACGCCGGTCACCGGGCGCCGGGCGCTGGCGCTTCAGCGCCTGGCTCTGTCCGCCCCACACCGCTGCCGCTGGACGCCTGCTGAAGCCCGCGCGTTGGCCACCACTCAATGCCCTCGAAGCGCAGCCTTTGTCTGCGACCGTACCACCCGAAACGTCTGAAGCGCTGGGGGCGGCATTCGCCCACCCGCCAAGCTATCGACCCGGCCCGATTGATGTCCCATAAAGCTTTCCTCCTCCTTGTCCATGTGCCCATGCCGGACCCGTTCCTCTGCTTTCCAGTTCCCGCCAGAGGCAGAGGCGGCGGGCTCTTGCTCTGCCCCGCTGCGATGCCGCTGGCGGCTACCAGCACCGTGTTCCTTTTGTCAATGATCCCTCCCTCGACCCGTCTCATTTCTGTAAGCAGCAGCTGCTCACTGAATGCAAAGGGGAGCAGCATAAGCGCCTGCGGCAGCGGGGGTACTTCCTTCTTGAACGCCGCCGCCACCGCTGCCGCTGACACATGTGGCTTGGCCAGCCGCATGGATGATGAATCAACCTGCCAACGGGTAGAAGAGAGTTGGGGCTGATTGCGTCCAGCAGATTGCGTGAGAGGCCCCTACTCCTTCTGGAGGGCGTGTGTTCCATCGGTGGTGCCACCACCTGGCGTCAAGCGGCGGCGCCACCTGGCTCCGGTCCTTAGGTGAATTTGAATTGATCGTCTCTACCGTCGCAACACATTGTAGTTCCTCTGCTTGCTGAGAAGCGGAGGGGCAAGCCCAGCCATTGGCCAGCCATTGACCAGGCACCGCCAGCCAACCCGATCGAGCACTCATCAGTGAGCGGGTGGCTGCCATATTCGACTATAAAGTCGCTTTATAGTTTTAGTTTCACAGCGGTCACCCTGCAAAGGTGAATGGCGGTGGGGTTTGTCGTCAGCAACTGCTGGGCGTAACTCGTTAAAGCCCGTTTGAAACCGGCTGCTTTGGGCGCAATGTGCTGCCATTTCGGCCACTCCAGGCGGCAATTCGCGCGCATTCATCCCTGGATATCGGGTGACGGACGCGGGTGGGAGTAACGCATGGCAGTCTTCGTGCGCTAAAGTCGTCGCCACCGTGCCGTTGTCACCCCTCTGCGCTGCAGGCCTACCCATCATGCGGATCCATGCCTGGGCTGCGCTGCTTGCGCTGCTGGCCCTCCTGCAGGCCACCTGCGGGTGAGCTGTGGGCAAACCTGCTGTTGCGCCGGAGGCTGGCTGCTCACTGTCAGCACCGCCCCTGGGCACCTCTGGCAGGCTGCTGCCTTGCACCGAGGCGGTCCCGCCGTTCGTGTGCTGGAGTGCAGGCGGGAGCTGCTTGCGGAAGATGGCGTCACCATCGCACACCACACCCCCAGGAACCCCAATGCCAAACGCGACAGGTGCGGGAGCGGGGACAGGGCTCTGATGGCGCGTTGGCTCCCCGCTGTGCCCGCCAGTCTCCCCAGCCGGCGCTGAGCTGGCGGGGCATGCCGCAGCTACCAGCATTGGGATGGATGGGGCCTGAGATTTTTTGTAATAGGGGGTGCAGGTACACATGGATTGCCACCCTGCACTATAACAGGTGAGGGGGCGCCGCGTTGCTCGTCTGGTGCCAGCGGGCGGGCGGGTGGGCAGGTGGCTTTGGGCAGGGTGACCTCCCTCCCTGTCCGCCCCGCGCAGCTTGGCAAGCTTCTGCCTGCCACTCAAGCGCATGCAAAGGGCCCTCGCTCCCACCTCCTGCGCCGCACACTGTGCCGCTTGCCGCGCAGCAAGAGGCGCAGCCCCGGCGGCCTTGCCCGCGGGGAGCAGTTCTGCCAGGGCACCCTGATCTCTCCGGACGTCGTGCTCACCGCCGCCTCCTGCTTCTTCACGAACGATACGACCATCTCGCCTGGTGGCATCTTCCCGCAGGTTGGTATGCAAAGAGAGTGTGTGTGCGCGCGCGCCGCGCAATGGCGGTGGTGGTGGACCGCGCAAGGCTGGCTGGCGTGCTGGCAAGGCCCTCACGCAGGGCTGGAGCGGGCGCCGCCAGGGGCATCGCTGCCGCCGCACCACTGAGCCAGCGCTGCAGACATTCCTGGCGGCATGCCTCTCTGCCCCACCGCCCCCGCAGGTGCGCGTGGGCGGGTACGGGCAGGACGGCGGGCGGAACGGTAGCGCCGCCGCCACCGCGCTGGCCTACCACAAGCGGTACAACTGGCGCCAGGGCCAGCCCTCCCACGACATTGCGCTGCTCAAGCTGGACCGCCGCTTCCCTGGCGTGACGCCCCTCCGGCTGGCACCTTGTGAGCCGCCGCCGCCGCCGATGGTGCACCGCCTTGGGTCGCCCCAGCCGCCTTCTTCACCGCCGGCTGCCGCGGGGCCCGCAAGCCATCACCGGGCGGAGCATGCACGGCGCAGACCACAGGGACAAGGGGCGCCTCCGCCCGTTGCGGCCAAGCTGAAAGCGGGCGGGCACATCATGCAGCCCAAGCCCCCCCGCCGCCTGCCCAGCACCGGCAGCCCCTCATCGCCTGCCTGCCTGCCTGCCTGCTTGCCTGCGTGCCCCGCCTGCCGCGTGCAGCCTCCAAATTTACCAGCTTGAAGGCCGACACCCAGCTGAGCGTGCTGAGGTGGGGGCCCGCTGCCCAGGGCCGCAGCCCCGCGTCCCCCAGCCTGCTGTGGGTGAGTGGCATGGCAGGTGGCGGGCAACCGCATGGGCCGCCCTTCACCTGGTGTGTCACAGCGGTCAGCCCGATGGGCAGCCGACAGCGCGTGCGGCCTGGGTGGTGAGCTGGCGCTCGGGGCACTGCATTGCAGAAAACAGCCGCTGCGCTGCATCCATGCGCGGCATGCGATGCCATGCCCCATGCCGCCCCTTGGGCGACACCCTGCCGCAGTCCACCCTCAAGCTGGACAGCCGCACCTGCGCCTTCCAGTGGCCCGACCTCGACTGGGGCTCGGGGGACATCATGTGCGCACGTGAGTGGCGGCGGCGGTGCCGTGACAAGCCCAGCTGGCAGGCCGCGGCAACTGCACACTTGGCTGCACACTTGGCTGCGGCCCACCGACCTTTTGTCGTTGCACCCCCTGCGCAGGCCCCTACGGCCACGGCAAGAACAGCTGCCGTCCCGAGGATGGAGGCGGCCCGGTGTTCCTGGAGGGCGGCGATGCGTCAGAGGACGTGCAGGTGAGCAGGGAGTGGGAGCCACACGAGCAGGGGCTGGCTCGGCTGGCAGGCTGCCGCTGGTGGCGGTGCTGCTGTGCTCCTGGGCTGGCCGCCTCCCGTGCCGCAGCCATGCAGCGGCCATGTGTGTTACATTCAGCAGCAGCGCGCCCTACACCTCGCCTGCTCCGCAGGTTGGCATCATCAGCGAGAGAGGCTGCGACAAGCTGAAGCCGAGTGAGAGGGGCCGCCTGCAGCTGGGTGCAGCCAGGGTGCCCGCCCGCCTCCCCTCCCGCTCCACAGCGCCTGCTCACCCTCTGCGCCCCGTCCACCCGGCCGCTGCACCGTGCAGGCATCTTCCAGAGCACCGCGCATTTGAGGGCGAGCGGCGGCCTGCAGCTGCACCCACGCCGCCCGCATGTGCCCCGGCCCAGCTGCACCACAAGCATCTGCCGACCCCCCGCCCAACCACCTCCGTGTGTGTCTGGCAATGCCTGCGTGCAGAACTGGATCCACGCCGCCGCCGAGGTCCTCAGGACCAGGCGCACCTTCACTGGCGCAGACCCCTTCTGGATCTACTTCAAGGACCAGTGGGCCAACTGGCTCGAGGGCGGGGACCACTGAACGCCGGCCGCCGCTGCGGCACCCGCGGCCCACCCGTCGTCGTGCTTCAAGCCCGCTCGGCACATGCACGCTGCACCAGCCGCTCACCGCTCGCAGCTCCCCTGCCCGTGGGACCACAGCGTGCGGGCGGCGCTGAGGCAGCCGCTTCACTCTGCAGGCCAGGGGCGCCCTTTGCTCCCTGTGCCGCAAGGCCGCCGCTAGCCTCCCCTCTCTTTAGCGATCCGTCACTAGCGCATCGACCACCCATATTGCCAGTTAGTAAAAGTTTAGTAGTTCCTCAAGTGAGGACACACATAAGAAAGTACTTGGAATACAAGAAGCTGCTGAGCAGGCGGCAGCGGAAGGCATAGCATACCACTCAATACGGTGGAGCAGAGAGGCAACGGAACAGGTCAGCACAGAGAGGAGCTCGAGCAGCAAACAAGCGGAACGCTGCAGCCGCACAGGAGTTCTGCACTACGGCAAGGCCGGGCATGCGACTCAGCGGGAGGCGGCGCCCAATCCCCTCAGATCTCCTCCACCTCGCTGTCACTCAGCGACACCTTCGCCGCCTGCCCCCCGCCCCCGCCCTCGATGCGCTGCCGGGTGCGCCTCAGCCGCGCCTCCTCCTGCTGCTCCCGCCGCTTCTCCTCCTTCCGCCGCGGGCGCCAGGCATGGCCGGTGAAGCGCGACACAAGCAGGCGCAGGCCCTAGGGCAGCGGCTGGTGGAGCACTGCCGCTGCAGGCTGCCCACCACCTGCTGCCCACTGGGCATGGCGCATGCCCCTACCGCCAGCACACACCGCCGTGCCCGCCTGCAGGCCCGCCCCACCTTGAGCTTGGACTCCATGCCCCAGAGTCGCTTTGTAGTTGAACAAACACAGCACGCATCCCGGGAGTGATACCCATCCGGCTGGAGCCTCGTGAAGCGCCGCCGCCGCCCCTGCCGAGTGTGCACCGCTGAGGCTCGTCCCAGCCGCCTTCGTCTCCACCGGCTGCCGCAGGGCCCGCACGGCATCTCTGGGCCGAGTATGCACGGCGCAGGCAGCAGAAGCAAGGGGCGACTGCGCCCACTGCAGTCTTGACAGCGGGCAGGCAATCATGTGGCCCAGGACCTTCCGCCGCCTGCCAGGCACCGGCCAGCCCCTCACTGCCTGCCTGCCTGCCTGCCTGCCTGCCTGCGTGTGCCGCCTGCTGCGTGCAGACTCCAATTTTACCGGCGTGAAGGCAAACACCCAGCTGAGCGTGCTGCGGTGGGGCCCCGCATCCTGGGCCCACAGCCCCACATCCCCCACACTGCTGTGGGTGAGCAGCCCTGGGTGCTGCAGTGCAGAGCGCAGCCTCTGCGAAGCGTCCATGTACGGCTTGCTATACAGTGCCCCATGCCACCAAGCACCCTGCCGCAATACTCAACTCTCAGGCTGGGCAACCGCACCTGCGCCCGCCAGTGGCCCGACCCGGGCTGCAGCTCGGGGACACCACAGCTGCACCACTGCTGCACCACAGCTGCACCACAGCTGGGCCCGTAGCACTCATTTGCTCCTTATGGGTGTAACAGACAGACAAGACAACATGTGCACACGTGGGTGGCGGCAGCGGCGCGGTACCAAGCCATCTGGCAGCCCACGGCGCCTTCCAAGAGGTGCACACCCGGCTGCGACCCACCGACGCCGGGTCGGTTCCACCCATGCGCAGCCCTCTACGGTCGTGGCAAGAACAGATGCTGTCCCAGGATGGAGGCGGTCCGCTGTTCCTGGAGGGCGGAGCGCAGCAGAGGACGTGCAGTTGAGCAGGGAGTGGGAGCCGAACGAGCAGGCGCTGGCTCGGTTGGCAGGCTAGCGCTGCCACTGGCGGGGGTGCTGCCTACTCCTTGATGGACCGCCTACCCTGGCAAAGCGCAGCAGCGGACATCTGTGTTGCAGTCATCGACAAGACCAAGCTCATGCCGCTCAGTGGGCGGCGGACCCAGCACGCGGCGCAGCAGACAGCAGAGGCAGCAGGCCTCACCTTCGCCGGCCAGCAGCTGGCGGCAGTCACCAGCTTCAAGTATCTCGGCATCGCCTTTCACTCCAGCACCTGCCTGGCAGGGGCAGCAGCGCCAGCCCGGGCACAGCTGGCGCGCCTGGCTATGCACAACTGCCGGACCCGCTGCGCAGAGGTGGGCATCGAGGCGGCGCCCGTCCAGCTGCGGCTTTTCGGCACCATGGTGGACTCGGTGCTGTCCCATGGTGCTGAGGTGTGGGGCGTGCAGCTGGCGGCCAAAGCGGCGTGCTGCCATCGTGGCAGTGCCGGCAGCGCGGCCGAGAAGCTGCAGCTCAGCTACCTACGCCACCTGCTGGGGGTCCGGCAGAGCACCCCCAATGCGGCCCTCCTTGCGGAGACTGGCGAGCGCCCGCTGTGGCAGTGCTGGCTGCGGCGGGCAGCCAAACTCTGGAACAAGACGCTGGAGGAGCGTCCCGGCAGCCTGTTGCAGCAAGCGCTGTTGTCCAGCGTGCAGCTCGCAGATGGCGCCCACCCCCTGGCACACACTAGGCTGTGGAATGGAGTTATTATTCTGAACCCCCCTTACCCCGCCGTTTCCCTGCACTTCAAGCAAGAGAACTGAATGCGCCCCCGTAGAGGCCTATTGGGCACTTCGGGCCGAGTGCCAGCGTGGCTTTGTTCGCCGCTCTGTAGCCTCTAGAAAGTGCGCCGGCGCAAAACGACAGATGGCTGTTTTCGCGGTGTTCGAGCGCTGATCGGCTTTCGTTTTCATTGTACTATCAAAAGGAATGAGGGAGGGGGCCAGCAGCCACGTGCAAACCCTGCACCTGGCGTGTGGTGCTGGGCAAGGGTTGGTGGGGTGAGGGGGTGGCTGGGCTGGCGGGGCGCGCCGCCGCCCGCCCGCCGCCACTTCGCCGCTCACACCGCTGCACCACATGCAAGGCTGGGCTGCTGCCCTGTAGCATTGGCCTCACCTGGTATGGGCCACACTGCCTGCTGGCCTTGTCGTGTTGGGTTTAGTGCTGGGGTGCTGAGAGGGCCCTGATCAGCCAGATTGCTGAATTTTGGTTGGGTAGAGGCCACCAGTACGCCAGCAAAGGGCTTTCCTCCCCATTTCCTCCTCTGAGAGCTGAGTTTGCAGGCAGTGTTCTGGGCCAGATTATGCAGCAAATTGAGGGCAGCAGGGATTGTGGCATTGCTGCAGCCCCACGAGGGTCCATTCCACAGGGTGCTAACAGCAGTCCTGGGCTGCCCAGCTGGCGGCCGGTCTCGCAGCGGTCGGCATGCAGCTGGACCTGCAGCAGCCAGCACCTGTTGACCTCGGCGAGCTGGGGGAAGCTGCGCAGCGCCGCCAGCTGGCGCAGCTCCAGGAGGCGCTGGCGAAGGGCGGCGCCAGCCGGCTGGAGCACTATGTGCACAACGTGGTGGGCGCCCTCGACCTGGCGCCCGCCATGTTTGGGCAGCGCGAGACCTACCTGGATGCAGTACGGCGTCGGCAGGACCGCGAGGCGCTGGCGCAGCTGCGCACCGGGTCGCATTGGGGCGCGGAAGAGACCGGCCGCTGGACGCGGCGCCCCCGAGAGCAGCGAGTCTGCCCCCACTCTAAAGGTCTAAAGCTAAACGTTAAAACCGGGAAGTTAAGCTTGTGGAGGCTCTTCCCCACCTTTACCTTTACCTTTACCACTGCCATGACGGCATTGAAGATGCCCCCCACATGCTGCTCACCTGCCCTCTTTACGCCCCGCTGCGCCTCAACTTTCCTGACCTGTTTGCTGAGCCCCATCCTCCCCACCGCTTCCTCCGCCAGAAACCGTGCCGCCTCGCCGCCTTTGCTGCCGCCTGTCACCAGCGCTGGCTGACCGCCACCGTTGCGCTGCCTGCAGTCCCGCCCTGAACCCCCACTCTCATGTCCACCCCCTTTGGTCTTACCGCACCACACCTTGCTTGTTGCTTGTGTGGGCTTAAAGTCTGGTAAAGCAAGAACTAGCTTGCAACGTAGACTCCCCGCCGAAACGGGACGGGAACCGGGCGAAAGCAGAGAAAGCAATAAAACAGGGGTGGAGCAAGGCGACATGCAACGCAAGCAGCTGACAGGGCACGCATCGAAACGTGTGTATGACTGGCAAAGTGGCATGGCGCATTGGGGAGAAACGCAACGGTACGGGAGCATGGTAAAGGTAAAGGTGGGGAAGAGCCTCCACAGGCTTAACTTCCCGGTTTTAACGTCTAGCTTTAGACCATTATTTGATCTGCCCGACGCGCCAAGTGCAGTACCCCCCACTAGTAGTGAATGGGTCCCGGGGAGGCCTGTGCCGAAGCCTTGGCGATTCTAATAGGCGTTCCCGAAGGAATTGGCTTGGATTGGCGCTGAGCCGGTCAGCTATGCCGCGTTTGTCCTCACAAAGTTTCGACATGGGAGGAATCGAACCTGTGCCCTCTCGGAGGGTTTAGACACTAGCTCCAGCGCCTTCAAAGAAGGCCTTTCTTAGCCGCGGCCCAAAGGGATTGGTTATATGGCTTGCATTGATGGGCTGGCCAAACGGCAGTGCGGAACGCTAGGTCACTAGAAAAGCAGGGAAAGGCGCACTATGTATGCAATGAGGGCAGCCCCGGCTCGGGGCCGTTGAGAAAGCAGTGGGCGGGAGGGGGGAGGCCCCGGTGTGGGCGGGCCCCATCGAGGGGGGATGGGCGCGCAAGCGGCCAGATGGGGCGGGGCGCGGGCGGCAGTAGAGTCCTGCGGCTGGGTGGGATATAGGGCAATGAGCGTTGAGCAGTGTGCGATGAGCAATGAGCAATGAGCAGTGAGCAGCCCCTCCCTAAACAAAGTGAAGCGCAGGACGGGGTCCGGTGGATGGGAGGCAAGGAAACGCGGGGGGTTGCCACGTGCGCTACCGTCCCCTCTGCCTCCTCCCCCGCCCGCCTGGACCCGCAGGAGGGTGAGGAGTGGTGCACCATGGAAGGCGTCATCGATCAGCGGGGCAGGGGGAGTGGCACGCGGTACCTGTGCCGGTTTGAGGGGTATGGCGCGGATGACGACATGTGGCTGCCGGCCAGCCAGATCACGGAGGTGGCGATGGCAGCGTGGCGGAGTGGCGGGCAGCGGGAGTGGCGCCAGCGGGTGGCCAGCCAGCCAGCCAGTCAGCCTGTTACCTTGAGTGGCGGCTGCCCCGCCTCGGGGGAGGAGCCCGCCCCTGGTGCTGCCCATGTGCGGCGCAGCAGGCGGCGGGTGGGACAGCCGTCAGGGGCCCGCTAGGGGGTTGGGAGCCAGGCGGGCGCCGCTGTGCTATTGCTGAACACACGCGGCTTCCTGGCCCATGACACAGCCGCGGTAGCAGCCTTGCTGCCTGCTGCGCCAAGTGATGTGCTCCTGTTCACTGAGACACACCACTTGCCGGGCGCCACCCCACCCAGCCTGCAGGGCTACTCGCTTGTGAACCACCGACCAGGGACCCCCTGCTCGACGGGCAGGGGACGCGGCGGCGTGGCCATCTACGCCCGCAGCTCTCTGGTGGGTCGGGTCCAGCAGTGGCACAGCTGGGAGGGAGTGGCTTGGATTCAGATCCGGGGGGAGGCTGGCCCCCCGCGATACGTGGCGAGTGTGTACCTGCCGCCACAGCGGACCAGCGAGCAGCTGGCTGCATTTTATGGGAGATTGCAGCAGGATT